TAGATATAGTTGTGAAATATGAACTGAATTGTGATTTCATTCCATGACAGGGCCTAGCTGTCAGACTTAACTGACATAAAATAGATGAAAAGATATCGATTTTTATTCGATTAATAATATCGTTAAAAACAATCTTTGAGGTGCTTTAAGTTCTGCACACTTTTTAAAATATATTTTCCTTTATTTATTTAAATGCTATTTGAAATGTATTTTTAAGAACAGTTAAATTGTGCAGTAGCGTTTTGTTTAGCTTTAACCTTTTGAGCGCCACGCTAAAAACGCATTACCGTGTCCTGTACGCCAAAGCGCCAAAACAAAATAGTGTTGCCAAGAGTTGATATATCGATAACGTAAAATAACTTGTTTTTGTTGGTTTTTTATGCTATAAATGACTCTTTATAAACTGTATGTTTTATTTAATCTTGTGCTGTCATCCACTCTTTTTTATATATGTACTTTGTACATATAAACATAAATAAAAAACAAACAATAACAATAAAATAGTAGTAAACCACAGCACTACTCTCCATCCTAATGACAACACTGTAACGACTAGACGACAACGGCGTAGCTGACCTTCCTTTTTTTAAACATTCTTAGAATGTTGTGTATCGATTTCAAAATCGATCTAACCGAAATATACAGACATCGATTCATAATATTTTATGTGACGGGGAAGGCGTAGACCAAGTAAAGTACAGAAGAAAAGTCTTACACTCTTATGACAATGGGGATTTGATATGATGCTGATGCTGCTAGATGATTTTGAGACTGAGAAAGAAAATGGCACAACACAAAATGAAAAATTGCTCTTCACACCCTAAGTAAAAAAACATTAATTGTAATTTTGTATTCTTATTAAAAAAGGTACATAATTATTCATTAATCAACAATTGTATATAATTATTCGCACTAGGTAAATCAGCCTTATAATACTAAAATCTTGGTCATGGAATAAATAAACATTTCATCACAATTCATCAATCAAAAATCAAAATTCATCATCATCGACGCTTTCCAAAATCCGAATGAGTTCTGAGGAATCGTTCATGTTGCATTGCTCTACTTTTCTCGGTAATCACTTATGACGTCATCAGGGTGTCGTCTATCCTTGATCACGGTGCCCAGTGAACTGATTTTCGATGACGCGCTAAAGATGCGCTAGAGTTGAGATATTAGATTTATTATGCGAAGATAATCTGATAACATTTTTTTTATTCATGTAGCTAATTATAGTTTTATGTTTCTAACCTTTAATTTTATTCAAATATCAATAATAATAGAAAAAAAACACCATTGAGCTGAATTTTGGATAGTTTTCAAGAAATATATGCCTCCCGCGTTTGACACTAGCGGTCAACCATAGACGACTTTGGCGTGCTGGACATAGTATTTGCTTAGATAAAAATCCATTTTTATTAGTTCAATGTTTCTTAGTACTTGGGACTCTAGAAGACTTGTTTTTTATACTCACATGTTGCTGGGTTATTCCTATTTTGAGGAGTGTAGAATTAAAATACCTGTAATAATTTTCCAATATCTATATTTCATATTTTTCGGAGCCGGGTTTTTTGTCAACTATAGACAGGACAGTCGTTGGCGCTCAGGGCCCGCAGGTGTTGGTCAAGTATAGGCGACTTTGGCGCTCAAAAGGTTGAAGGATTCATGGTAAATCAGCTGGAAATTAACTTGTTTCGTTATCATAACATTTTAAATGTATTGTTATAAACAGATAAGAATAACTTAATCGATCTTCTTTAAAAACAGATAAGAATAACAGTTCTTATCTGTTTTCAAAGAAGATCGGTTAAGATTAACAGTTAAATTGTGCCGTAGCATTTGTTATTCTCTAAAGAATTCATTGGAAATCAGCTAGTAATTCGTTATTTAATTATCGTAACATCATAATTATTTAAAAATTATATTAGCACTGTAATGATGACACCGTAAATAATCGATCGAAAAAGAGAATCGATTTTTTAAATGTGTTTTGTGATTGGCAACACTTTTTTTTTATTCACAAACTAATGACATAATGATTTACCTAATTTTTATTATTATGTTTCCGGTACTTTTAATTTTTGCAAAAATATTCCCATTGTTTGAGGATAAATGAATACCGCGATTAATAACCATAAATAAAGATATAATTTTTTAACAAATGCACATTGTTGGGCGTTCCATGGCCGAAAATGGGCGTCCCCCTTTAAATGGTTTGAATATAGAGCTCAGCATACTTTGGAGCCAGAGTTACAGAAGATGGCCAAGTTTTTAAATTTATTGAGTGAACAATTTGGAACGTCCTTAAGCAATGAAAATGTGCCTGAAAAACGGAAACGTTCTGAATTCAGGAAGCAAACTGTACACACTGCAAAGGGGTCTGTACGCAACCGTTTTAAGAGCGAGCGTTATGAACGCCGAAATAATAAAGGGCACAACCAACAAGTGGTTATGATAACCCAGGATAAGCCTGTAAGTCTGGTAACACATAAGTGTGTTATATGTAACAAGGAACACTCTATAGTGAGTTGTTACAAATTTAAGTATATGAATAATCGCGAAAAATGGGAAGCGGTTAAAAAGGCGAAAGTATGTTTCCAATGTTTGTCATCTAACCAAAGGAGGTTAGAGTGCAGAGCGAAAAAAATGTGGTGTAGAGGGATGTAGAATGGCACATCATCGAATGCTACATCGATACCCCAATAAAAATACCTCGCCGCAAGGGGACGAGGGGGGTAAAAGAGGCTCAAATTACAACTGTTAGTATAGTGAATGCACTGGTATGTGCTTATTTAACAATTATTCCGGTCGAGTTGTATGGACCTAGAGGAAAGGTCAAGACCACAGCTCTTCTGGATGAAGGGTCAACCATGACACTCATAGAGGAGTGGGTGGCTCAGAAGTTAGCACCTCGCGGACGCAAAGAAGAATTACGTATTGAAGCCGTAGGAGGTAAACGAATTAACGATGACAGTTCGTATCGCTTAAACGTTAAAATAAAAGGCATTTTCTCGAAAGACTTAGAGGAGATAAGTGTACAAACAATTAAGTCACTTAACCTTTCTCCGCAGTCAGTAGGCCGAGAATTATTGCAACGGTGTTCTTATTTGACACCGATTAAGGACGAGTTGATTTATGAGAGGTCCAGACCTACGATATTAATTGGCCAGGACAATTGGCATCTCATAGTTACTCGTGAATAAATTTCAGGAGGTAAGAACCTACCTGTAGCATCGCTCACCAAACTTGGATGGGTTTTACATGGTCACATTTCGGGTGGCATTAAACCAATCAAGATTGTTAACCACATTTCCACCAAGAAGGAGGAGGACATGGAGAAATTAATCAAGGATTATTTTAGTTTGGAATCTCTGGGAGTGTCTGCGCGAAAGCCCGCGAACGACCCAGAAGAACGAGCTTTAAATATTTTGAACAAAACGGTACGTCGTATACCTAATAATAGGTACGAGACTGCTTTGTTATGGCGCACAGAAAATGAGTGCATTCCGTCGAATAGAGCGCAGGTTGAAAGTCGCCTGTTTAATATCGATATCGATATATTTGGCGTTCTGATACGATTCAGAGAAGGAAGCGTAGCAGTGATGGCAGACATTAAAGAAATGTTCCTGCAAGTAAAAATTCGGGAAGAAGACAGGGACAGCCTTCGATTCTTATAGCGGCACAATCGTGACGCGCCACCGGAAGAGTATAGAATGACGTCGCTCATATTTGGAGCGGCATCATCACCATGCATCGCTATATATGTGAAGAATAGAAACGCGCAGGATAACGCACATATCTATCCAAAGCAGCTTCCGCGACGGAAAGCAATTTTTATATGGATGACTATCTACAGGCATTTCCTGACGTGACGACGGCCGAAAGGATAGTAAACGATATGTATGAATTACATAAACGTGCTTTTCTTTCCAACTGAGGGGATGGGCTAGCAACCGACCCGAGGTTTTATGTAAAATGGAGAATAAATATAAGAGCGACAGTGCTTCACTGGGAGATAAGGAGCACACAGAACGCACTTTAGGTTTGATCTGGAATATCAAACGAGATATAATAAGTTTCTCCATAAGTCTTCGTAACACACCGGAAGAGGTGATGGAAGGTTTACGACCGCCTACGAAGAGGGGAGATAACTAGCGCTGTGATGTCATTCTTCGATCCTTTACGACTCGCATCACCCATAACGATTCAAGGGAAGTCGCTAATCCAGCAAGTATGGAGGACAGGCATCTCTTGGGATGAAGAAGTTCCACACGAATTACACGTGTTATTTTGTAAATGGATATCGGAAGTGAAGAAATTAGGTCATTTAGAAGTACCTAGACCCGTTGCTGAAGGCGTCGGCAAGGGAGAGTTACACACTTTCACGGATGCTAGTGAGAAAGCATACGCCGCCGCGGTGTATTACGTCACAACGGACGAGCTAGGAGAAAAGCGGATTACGCTGATCGCCGCAAAGGCAAGAGTAGCGCCGCTGAAACCAATTTCCATTCCAAGGCTTGAATTACAAGCAGCTCTTATGGGCAGCCGATTAACTTCATCAGTTAGAGAAGAGAGCAAGTACGAGATATCCGAGCGAATATTTTGGACTGACTCACGTACAGTGTTAGCGTGGATTAAGTCAGACCCTCGCGCTTTTAAACCTTTCGTTGCTTATCGATTGGCTGAGATCGATCAATCAATCAGCATTGATCAACCAATCTCTAAATTTCAAACAGCCTTATAAATTTATAAACATTAAATACAACTTGTTTTTATTAATGAATGTTGCTTTAACCCATTACCACCACCATCCTACATATTTTTTTAAAGTTTATATCTTTTGTTTTTTTATGGTTGAGAAGTAATTGTAGGTTACATCCCATACTCTTATAAATCACCACTCAATCTGTTACCACCGTTTGTTAACTAGAAAATATTTTCACTGTAGTATGAGAAAAGCCACACAAAAGAAAAAAATGTAGATAGTAACAAAAGAAAGATTAACTAACCTTATCACATTCCTCATCAGGTACTGCAGATTTGACTAGCCTCTTTCCAAAATTATCAATGAATGATGATTTCTTAAAATGTTTAGTGCACAACATTAAATGCTTAGAATGAAGCTTGTTTTGAAATTCTGGTGACCACCAAGAGTCATGAGGAAAACAGTACTTAGCCCATAATTCACATCTGAAAAAATACAATTAGATAATAATATACTACTGAAAAAGAGTGCAATACAAGAGATTGTTCCATTCAAACAATGTGATTGTATTGTATACATATATAAATATTATTCCACATGTTATTTCTATGTATACCAATACATCTATAACTACTTTATTATGTTATGATTTCTATGTGATACACCTCATGCTGTTCTGCATAATTTCTCTTTAATTTTCAGATTTATTTGCACACGTTTTTAAATCGCTTAATATGTATCTTAGGTTTTATTAGCCGATGCGGCCCATAATAATTTTTATTTCTGTTACTTTATTAATTCAGTGCTTCAAATTTAAGTATTTTAAAACTGTTTTAATCAGTAACCAAAAAGCTATTTAGCTTACGTATCGTAAGCTATTTGTTCTCCCAGGCTTAGGAAAACGATGCAAGGTGATGTTACGATCATGAGCAGGAGAACATCCACACTTGTAACATTTCCTTTCGTTTTCTTTCATGATGAAAGATAAAATTGAGTCTCTGTCTCTTTAGCACAATGCACAGCACTTGTTTTTGAGTCTCTTTCTCACTGTAAACACTAAAACGGAGGAACGGGATGTTCAACTCAACGTTAGTAATGTAAGAAATAAGTTAAAGCAAAATATAAACCTAATTTGCAACACAAATAAACAAGAACACAACCGCAAGCGCAAGGGATCTGCCATTTGTAATTTTGTTTATTTGCCGTTGCCATAACTTGCCTTTTTATTATAGTATGCAGTTTTATATTCATACATTTTGTTACTTCAATAAAGACGTAATAAATATATTTTTATCGAAATATATTATATAATAAAGTATTATAATTATTAAAAAAATGATTAAAATGATGTGTCATTTAAAATAATATTTCTTTCATGGCAAGATAACATAAAGTGCGAGGGAGATAGATATTAATCCATCTCGCTTCCTTAAAGCCCCCCAAGGTCATTTCCCGGTGCCAATCTTTTATTAGGAAGTTGACTGGACTTGGTTATTTCTCTGTCTACGCGTGTTATTTTGTTTTGTTGGAAAATGCAATTGTTGATCTCTCAACAATTGGTTCGAACACAGCAGGTAAATAGTTGGTACATATCACGATGTGGCATGTCTTCCTCTAAGAAATGCTTTATAACTGAGTTTACTTGAATAATACCAATATAATAATTGTAGCTTCTTTAATAGGTACAAGTTTCGAGTACAGTGAACGTGTAGTGTGCCACTCGCAAAATGCACCAATAGTTCGTCTTGAACATGTATACATCAGCTGTGGCACTGACACCTATGAGAATAAGATCACACATATTGTTTGGGTTCAATTCTCCGCGTGAGGAACAATTTGCGCCACGTGAGGTAACTGTTTAACATTTTTCAATTTATTAAATGTGATCCCCATATCTGATTATTATACATGTTTTTACACTGATTGTACATCAACTCAAGAACTTGTTTTATTTTTTCACAACTGCACTAGCTATATCTGACAAACATACTAGATTATTTATGAGATTGACCATTTTTATCAACTACCAAGAAAGGAGACAGTTGATTTTTCATTGTTTTTGGACTGCTGGTAGTCTGTCAGGCCTTAATTATTAAATAATATAGGGCATTAAATCCGTCCTTGTGCAGTAACATTTAACTTGATAAATATTTTATTTATATTTGAGTTTGAAATAAACAAATCTATTTTATTTTTCACTTTGTCTTCATTTTTTGTATTTTACATTATTTCAGTTGCCGTTACCATGCCGTGTATATCATAATTGCTGGCAATGAACTGATAGAACAGCATCACGTTCAACTGCAGAACGGGAACCATCTGAATCATCTAGTCCGTCCTCGTTGCAATCTGAAGTGAGTAATGTATTGCACCCAGAACAACAAAGCTTAGATCATACATCACACAGTGTACTGCTTACCAATTATTTAAAAGCACAATATTTTTACCTGGTTGTAACAGTTCCATCAGCATTGCGAGTATGTCTCTTTTGTGATTAACTACATTTTGCGATAACAAACATAAATAGTGACAATTACTATGTATGTGTGTTATACGTGGTAGAGCAATTATATTAGAAGTATAGTTGTAGCATGAATGGGTCGGCTCGACCGGGGGAAGGACCACGCTCTCACAGAATACCAGCGTGAAATAGTAGCTTAATGCTGCTGTGTTTTGTATGGTGAATGTAGAGAACCGGAGGCCCTTTTTACTGGAAACGAGAAAATGATCTTAGTCCTCACGGGTGACGACGCATCTGCATTTTGATTTGTAATCGAGGATAGATGTGGATGTCTAAGGGTCGCAGCAATGTCTCCAGCAGATGGTGAATCTCAGTTAATAACAAGATATACTAATAAATCCAGAGCCGTGACTATGTGTCGATATGGGTAGAGGTGGTGAATGGCATTTTTAAAACTGAATTTAAAATATTTCATCAAAATTACTTTAACAGGGCTTCTACACATTTGATGATAGACTGCTGTGGCTGCTGCTATAATTAATTTCAAATTCCACACAAAAATAAGGGACAGGGATGATGCGGCTCAAATACTTGAAATAGTTCACCAAAATATGGAGACAAATAATGATTTGTCTGAGTATGCTGGGGAAAAGAATCTAAATAGAGCTAGGGCAGGCAGACTTTATAAATATAAATGTAGACTAAAATGTTAGGGAATTTCCTGGTTTAACTTACAGCGACTTAATATTAATTGCTTGTGTCACATACCAATTATAGCAAGCTCGCTACTATTATGGTGAGCATATAAGATTTAATGGTTGCTACCAGATAGAACTCTGTAATAACCAGAGAAGCAGCATTATGGAAGGAATAAACTTAAGCCCTAGCTGATCTTTACTTAGGGCTAGAATTGCAAGTCATCACCATTAGTCGTAAAGTGTATTTTATATACAGGGTGTCCCAGAACTCAACGTCAAGCCGAAACAGGGTGACAGGAATGATTGTTACGATCATGAGAAAAATCAGAAAAAAAAATCTATCCCATGCAGTTCGGAAATTATGGGCATTTAAGAAAAATCTAGAATTTTGGTGAAACTGTAACCATTTTTCGGTTTTCGTGGTTAATTTTCATTATTTTTGTTCATTTACACTTTGGAACCGTAACCCTAAATAACATTTCTAGAACAACAGTCAAAAATAATGACACAACAGCCCCAAGTTTTCTAGAATTAAGACTATTTGTTAAACTATGAATTTAAAATTTTTTACATTTGTCGACTTTGAAAGGTCTTCCTTTAAAAAAAATACTAAAGTGTGTTGGCAAGTGCCATTAAAAGTTTGCGCATTTAACCAGCATTGTAAAATGGTATAATACTTGTTAGTTTCATACTAAAAAAAAACTAGGTAAAAAATAAAAACATCGAGTAACCCGATTTTTCTAACCCATTTTACTCAGTTCAAATGTTTTTTATTCACACAAGCTCTTGGTAGGTTCTTAATTTTACGGAAAAATGATGAGAGAGATGGATAATAGACACGATTGCCGTGAGCGACCAAGACAGATAGTGACGCCACGCTATGAGACGGAGATGCGTCTGACACCATTTAGTACGATTCGCTCATTCGTCTACTGCGCACCTTTCTGTATTCGCTTGTGTTGATTTAGTACTGACAACTTGGCTTCTCTTTTTGGACTTAGATTATTGTGAATTGGACTTGTTGATTACATACCGGGCAACTTTGGCTTCTCTATTTTGGAATTGCACTTTTGGCTTCTCTTTTTGGACTTAGATTATTGTGAATTGGACTTGTTGATTACATACCGGGCAACTTTAGCTTCTCTCTTTTGGAATTGCACTTTTGTGTTGGCATCCTTGTTATCTACCATACCTACGCGCTACACTTCACAAGAATATGCCAACATGTACCTCATTTATGGGAAATGCAGATACAACGCAAGTGCCGCCACTAGACTTTATCGTGAAAGATATCCAACTTTAGAGCGCTATCCGGATCACCGCGTGTTTGTTAATGTGCACCGTTCACTTACGGAGGGCGGCCATTTCCCGAATCAAATAAGGGCTGGAGGTAGAGCTCGCTTTCCTTACGAGGAAGAAGTGTTGCAAGAGGTCGCAGATGATCCAAGTATTTCCGTTCGTGGAATTGAAGAAAGAACGGGAATACCCAAAAGCACATCACATCGTATTTTACAAAGAGTACAACGCGTTCAAAGTCTTCTTCCTCGAGATTATCCTGAAAGGATTTCATTTTGTAGAACAATGCTACAGAGGCATAACGAAAATCCCCAATTCATCCAAAAAATTCTCTGGTCAGATGAATCTACATTTAAAAAAGATGGTTACATAAACTTACACAATTTTCACGAGTGGCATGTGGCGAATCCACATTTAATGCGAGAAGACAGATCCCAGTATCGCTTTAAAGTATCTGGCAAAATTTAGCAAAAAAGCAAAATTGTTGGGCCTTTTGAGCTGCCTGAGAACTTTAATGGCATGAATTACCTACATTTTTTACGAGAAAATATACCAACTTTATTAGAGGACGTACCACTAACAGACCGTCGCCATATGTGGTATCAACAAGATGGCTGCCCAGCGCATTACGCGGTGCAACTAAGAGATTGAGGCATGGTACGCGTGGGGAAAAGAAAAGATACGTCTTCACCGTACGTCGGTCGTTTATTGAATCCCAAATACAGTTATTTCTTATAAAATCTAACTTATGCTAAACGCGCTTGCGCAGCAGAGTCACACGGGACTCGCGCATGAAATATAAAACTTCTAGGTAATGCACTACATCTCCCCCGAAAAGTAAGGGGTACCTCACTACCCTCTTTAGGAAAAAAAATGATTAGTGTACATATAACTTAAGACTAATAACATAATAAATGTATAGGTATGTAATAGTGGAGACGAACTGTCCACTATTAACAGACTCCGAGTGGTTTTCTTTAAGGTGGAGAAATGAAACTACTGTTTATGTTTATGAATGTACTGTCGAATGGGATTCGGAATGGAATATATTTTGCATCAACCTTGCCTATATTTATATGGCTGGCTCACTATTGATTTGCCAATGGTAACAATTAATATTTTGCCTAGCCAATTATATTGCTTATTTTATGACCAATGAAAACTATTTAAAATATACAATTATCTACGTTTCGTTTCCCGGCGTGAGACTTGTTTGTTGTTCACGAAGCTACGTCGCTGGACCGGGCTATATAAGACATGCAGATCGGTGCGCACGCGTAGTCGGCGGGCGGCGGCGGTGTGGAATACAGCTCCGGAACAGCAAGAGGAAACGAACTGCGGCGTTGAAGAAACGGCTCACCATTGGTCGACGGATACGTGACGATAGCGGCGTGTGAAGTCGGTGTGGCGCTGAATGATATTTGCGGCTGCTTCTTGTTTCTTTATAAGAACGTCAAATTATCTATATACAGTCCGCAGTATCTCAGTAGCCAAGAATAATTAGGAAATAAAATGTTTTTTTTATTTATTCTCGCCTTCCGCGTTATGGTAGCAGCGGAGTATATCTTATTTATTCCCGTTTAGGTTTGATTAATCTGGCTGCTACATCACTCTCCCCCCAGCGAAAGCGTACCGGAGGCTTGACGACTCGCCCGTATTTCGTAGTTTTTAAAATAGGTTTCAACTGGGTTGATGTAGATGATGAAGTTTCAAGCTTCCTCGCTGGTGGTTTTGATGATGATGATGAATCCTCTGCAGTATCCTCGTTAATAATATAGGCAGGCTTTAGTCGGTCGATCGATATAATCGTAGATTTCCTTCCGGGTATTTGTAGTTTAAAAGTCTTGCTATTTCTCTCTAATACTTTATACGGTCCATCGTAGGTAGGTTGAAATTGTTTTTTCATTGCGTCGTTTCTTACAAAAACTTGTTTGCATGTTTTCAAATCTTGGTGAATGAATACTGATTTATTATTTCTGTGTGATTGCATTTCGGTGCATTTCAACGATAAGGCTTTGTTAATTGATTCTCGAAGTTTAGTTACGAAATCGTAATCCATTTCTTGTTTGTTTGACGCTGCTGAACTGAAGAAGTCACACGGCAGCCTTATGCTGCAGCCGTAGGTTAGCTGAGCGGCGCTAAGACTAGTGTCTGCACGCGGTGTTGCTCGTAGTCCGAGTAGCACTGTAGGTAGCTCATCAATCCACTTTGTATGTTGAGATAAACGAGTTTTGAGTGCAGTCTTTAATGTACGATGCCATCGTTCGATTATTCCGTTTGACTGAGGATGGTATGCTGTTGTACGCGTCTTCTGTATTCCCATAGTTTGAAGAAGTTTGAGGAATAGGTTGCTTTCGAAATTCCTTCCTTGATCCGTTGTGATGGTTTTAGGTGATCCGAAACGAGTAATCCAATTTTCATAAATTATCTTCGCGACGGATTCGGCTGAAGTATCATCGGTAGGTATTGCTTCTGGCCATCTTGTTGTTCTGTCGATCATTGTTACGAGATAACGATGTCCTTGCGGTGAAGTAGGTAATGGTCCAACGATGTCAACGTGCAAGTGTTCGAATCTCTCCGTGGGTGGAAATGTAGCTAGACTACTTGATGTATGCCTTTGTACTTTGCATTTTTGGCATTGAATGCATTGCTTCGCCCAGTTGCCAACATCCGCTTGCATTGCAGGCCAAAAGAATTTTTCAGTGATGAGTTTTCTTGTTGTTCTAACACCTGGATGACTAATGTTGTGCAGTGTATTGAAGACTTCGCGACGACATTCTTCTGGTATGTATGGTCGCATGGTTGTCGTTGAGGCTTCACAGTATATAGGTAGATGCGTCATTGGCATTGTAACTTGCTTGATGGACAAGTTACCTTGCTTCGATAGATGTTTTATGTTGTCACTATCTCTGTCTTGTGCTGCGGCGATCTTATGATAGTCGATTGATGTAGGGCACGTTACACTGTCGATTGGTACGCGACTGAGTGCGTCGGCAACTATGTTGTCCTTTCCACTGATGTGACGTATGTCGGTCGTGAATTCACTTATGAAAATAAGTTGTCTTGCTCTTCGTGGTGTTTCCGATAGTGATGGTTTCTTTGGAAGTACATATGTTAATGGTTTGTGGTCGGTAAAAACGATCAGGTTTCGACCCTCGAACGTTTTTCTGAAGTGCTTGATAGCCATGTAAATAGCGAGTAGCTCTCGGTCGAATGTACTGTAGTTACGTTGAGTATCGGAGAACTTCTTCGAAAAATATCCAAGTGGTTGCCATTTCCCATTGCTGTATTGTTGGAGAACTGCTCCTGCTGAGAGATCGGATGCGTCGCTGAAGATAGCAAGGGTTGCTTCGTGTGATGGGTGAGCGAGTAAAGCTGCATTTTGGATCGCAATTTTACAAGCTTCAAATGCCTTCGTGGCTTCATCGTTCCATTCGATTGACGTTTTATCTTTTTTCTTCGTGTTGTGAAGGTAGGCGTGAAGTGGTGCTTGGATTTCAGCGGCTTTAGGTATGTGTTCTCTGTAAAAATTTATCATCCCAAGAAAACGCCTTAGCTCTTCGATAGTTTTAGGTTTTGCATAATCGATGATTGCTCTGACTTTTTCGGCAGGCGGTTTTATTCCTTCCTTGCTGACGGTGAAACCAAGAAATTGAACTTCTTGCTGTCCAAATATGCATTTCGAAGGGTTGATTGTGATTCCGTTGTCTTCTAATCGCTGTAGCACGGTGCGTAGATGGGTTTCGTGCGTTTCTTTATCAGGGCTTGCAACAAGGAGATCATCAATAAATGCGAAAACGAAATCCAGTCCATGAAGTACTTCGTGTATGAATCTTTGGAAAGTTTGACCTCCGTTCTTTAATCCTGGGATCATTCTTGGGAATTCGAATAATCCCATTGGGGTAATTATTGCTGTCTTCTCTATGTCTTCATCGCGGACTCTTATTTGTTGGTAAGCTCGGTTGAGATCGATGGTGGAGAATATAGTCTTGTCTGATAGTTGATGAGTGAAATCCCTGACTCGCGGTATTGGGTAGCGGTCAGGAGTGGTAATAGAATTCAGTCTTCTGTAATCTCCACAAACTCGTAATTCTCCGTTCTTCTTCGGTACAATGTGAAGTGGTGATGACCAAGGGCTTTTGCTTGGACGGCATATTCCTTGCTCAATCATGTTTTCGAATTCCTTTCGAACTTGCTCGTATAGGTGTGGTGCGATTGGACGTGCACGACAATGAAGTGGTGGTCCATTGGTGTCGATGAAATGCTCAACGTCGTTCTTCGGTGTTAATTTCATTGAAGTTATTCTTGTGATACCAGGGTATTCTTCGAGGATCTTGTGATACGGTTGTTGCACATCTATGCTTCTTATTGTGGGCAGATTGGTTGCTTGTACAAAAGACTGAGATGCAAGATTGGTTTTCCCGTCGATGATTCTTCTATTTTTGATGTCGACGACCAACTGGTGATGTTGAAGAAAATCAGCACCGATGATTGGTTTGCTGACTTTAGCGACGATAAATCTCCATTTGAATGGTCGGCGTAGATTAAAATCAAGTTCCATTGTTTTTTCTCCATATGTAGGAATAACCGTATTGTTTGCTGCATAGAGTTGAAAATCTAGTGGCTTCAACTTCTGTCCTTGCTTCGGCGGTAACACTGAGATATTTGCTCCGGTGTCGATAAGGAAAGTGAGCTTGCTTTTTTTATCGGTGACGAAAAGACGGTAGGACTTTGCTGTTACGCTGGATCCCGTCGCATCGAGCGTACTAGTTAGTTTTCCGTATTCGTATTTTCATTTTTGAATGTACACGGTGCTGTGCATTTTCTTGCCTCGACCCCGAAACGTCGATGATAGTAGCAGTAAGGGGATCTTGATGTTGAGCTTATTCGACTT